ACAATTTATCAAAACYCATACAGGTATGGTTTGTTATAAGTCCTCGTGAATTATGTACGATTATTCACCGGGTACATTGTTATSTTAGGGACACTGAACGTAGAGGTCATCTGGTCTGTACCACGTGATGACGGTGACGCAACGGTTACTGGTTACCAGGTCTTTATAAACAACCAAAAACACGGACAGCCGCTGAATATGAATACCTTAAAAGTTGATTTGAAGGTACCGAGATTTTTACTTTGCTTAAATTGCGAACAGTCGTGAAAATAGTTCTTTGAAATTGATTTTTTCCTTTAATTATATTTTTCAGTTACCTGCATCACCACATGATCACGTGATTACTTTAAGGAGTCTTACAAACCATCCCATCGGTCATAGCGAGCCTTCAAGTGAAATACCCCTTCCTACTAAAGCCTTTTTGCCATTCGTACAATTTTGTTACTTTGGAGTACACTCTGAGTCGCATGATTGCTGCTATGAAGACAGTCTTTCGTACGAATTAAAAAACAAACAAGTAGCGATGCACAGGGGTACCCTTGGGAAGCCTCTCCCCTCCCCTGTGTGTTATGTTACAGATGTTTTCAAATCTCGTACTCGACACTTGGTTGAACCAACAGACAAACCGCTGGTTATTCTGTTTTGGACTATCTGGTTAGTTTTTGTGCCTTGTAAAAAAAGGTTTTTAATTTTACTGATTTCTTAGTATAGTTTAAAACACGAGAGAGTGTTTTAAACGGCTTAAAAAACTCCAACATTTAATTTGAAACTCAAATCCGTTAAAATTCTTGGAGAAATTGCCGTACAAATATGTTCAGAGATAAATAGGGAAAACCGATCATGCGCGAATCACTTTACAAAGCACTCTTGTCATCCCACATTGAATACGCATAAAGTAAAATAGAACCGCTCTTGGCTGTTCACTGAAATCGGTTGACATTCTGCATTGGTCAATGATCAGGTTTCAAACCTGAGATCTTTGCTAGGGTCATGGACCTTTATATCTGATAAAGGTCACCCTTATTAGTATTCTTTATATAAAGAATACTAATAAGGAGTGTTTTATCAGATATAAATGTCCATGCATGTGACCAAATAGGCTCATTCTATTGGCCTATTAGCTCATTAATTATGTATGAGTTTTTTAATGTTGATTATTGTGTTGATTGACAGGTGTCATTCATCATTGAAAGCCATGGCAATGTTCGTAGAATTTTCAAGAAATCATCATGAAGTAAGCTCTCAGTTTTTACATAAATTACTGTCAGTATATGAAATGATTCATTAGTAAAACTTAAAACTCAATTTACAAGAAAATATTTCATTAGTGATTTGTTGTTTTTCTCCGAAAGCACATGAATTTTATCACGTGCTGCGTTCAAAGTAACCAACCAGCCAGCGGTCATCACCATTGTCTACGTGAGCAGCTCACATCACGTGATTGGATATCCAAAAATGTTCAACATTTATGTGGCTGTCATCCTGCTGGTCAGCAGCCTTTCATTCGACGTAACGAAGGGGGGAGTGGTAGGGGCAGTGTTTGTCACGTGTATGGGCTTGTCGGTGTACCGACCATAGTGCTTTGCAATCACGATGGTAAGTGTTTTTCATTTTCTCTTTTTAGGGAGTGTAATTTGCTTAAGAGGGATGTTCTGATGGACAATGTATTCTATTTTTCAGGCTATATTACATGGCAGGGTCGTATCTGTGCTCATAACTTTGCTGAATACGAAAAGTGCTTGCTTCACGCCTTCAATGAATCGTTAAACCAAGAATGTAGTATTTCAGAATGTGATCAATGCGTGCTAGATTACGAGTTAGACACAAGTAGTTTTACTTCACAGATGCTATCAAACCCTCACGACAGCTATGACTACAAGAAAGCTAAACAAGACTCATCCCTAGTGGTGACGGGACATTTGTCAAGGTTTCACCATGATTACCATTCGACAGAGAACTTTCAAAAAATCGACRTAACTCCGTCCGACTTAACAGAAACTATACACCCAGGCACTCTTAAAAACACAGAGGTTTTACGTCGCCGTCTACATAATACACGACCTCAAACGTCGCCTTCAAAAGAGATATCATTGACACTTCCTGAAGCAAACGCTCGACCTTTAACTAGAGCGAAAACAGCCAATCAAACGCGAAATTCAATATTCAAGAGTCGGTTTTCGTCATCTATGACGTCATCATTACCAAGTCTTGGATTGACCAATAGGAGTTCAGAGTCTGGAAAACAAAGATCAGTTTTAACTAAGCCAAAAAAAGTTACGATATCGGTTGATGAATTCAATCCAGTTTAGAAAATACCCTGACCCAAGGAAGACTGGGATGACTTATCAACGTCTATTTTATATTTTTTCCTACTCGAAAAACCTTTGCGAAGTAACGGAATAAGGATCTTTTTTGGAAAAGAAAGAAGTTTAAAACAAGTAAGGTTAAAATAATCATTTCACACCKGATATAGTGATTGCAATATTTATTTAAAAGAGTACAAATACTTGGTATAGTTTTTTTTCATTTATAATCAAAAATATGAATTATTCATAGTAAAACAATAATGATTGAGATAATTTTATCAAAAATTGTGACAAAACAAAAATTGAAATATATATTGTATAAATATTGATTAGCAATTCAAATCAATTCAAATCAATGCTGTTTCCAAGGAAATGCATCAAAATATATTGTAAATTATGTAAAGTTTCAAACATTTTATACTTGTACATATGTAAGATCAGGTGACAGGAAGCTTTCAACCAAGCATGTGGGATAGGCTTATATATAGTGTATTTTATCACCCATCACGCATGCTCATAATGGCGTTCTTGTAATTTTTTCCAAAGTCTGTAAATAATCTGGAAAATAAAAGTAATTTTCATCAAAGGAGAGAATTTAAGTTGTATGTAATGTATGCGGTCGACTACAATATATTCCTAAATCAGTTAACACAAAATTAACAGATTTAGCAGAGTCCTTAGGAACTCCGTGGTCTAGTCTTTATGCGAATGGTTTATGGTTTAAAGCTTCTGGTGGTATTTTCCGKCTTTTTGGATCTTTTTTTAATATTTTTTTTTATCAACACGCAAGAGACACGTGCAAGCTAACAATTTACAACTTTTTGAAGAAATCACAAGTTTTCATTTGCACGTTATGAGAAGACGAGGCACTGAAAGAGTGAARGGTCTCGCAAAACAACACAACATGACAGTCCGGTCTGGGAATCGATAGAACTTAGCTGTCGTGTGGTCCCAAATCTTACTCAAGAGACAATAASTATMAATCATTTCACGTCGCTAAAAGCTTTTACCGATACTCAATTTGTTACTCACGAAACGCTTAGTCATTCTTGATTGTTTCCTCTCGTGATAATCAATAAAAACTCAAAATAGGTCGACAAAAAGGGGTTATTAAGGCTTCAAAACGCATTAACGTTTAACATAGAAAAGCGTTTTCAGTTGTTTTTTTTTTCGGATATTAGGATCAAAACTCGGCACCTGATTGGTTGATTACTACTTGGCTTCGAATTCGCAGATCATCAACACCTCATTTAGGAATAGGGTTTGCACGCAACGATTGAACAACCAAGTCTGCAAATGATACTAAAATATCTTATATCTTACTTTCAAACTTCAATTAAACGAATTCATTTTCTTGAAGATAAGTACATTTCTCTTAAGACTGAATTGTTGTTATTGAATTTTGGTATGTTAATAACAGCTTTTAATCCTATAATCGCTTGATTATCATCAACAAATTAAACCATTTCTCTTGGATGCGAAACACACTCGTGCAATTCGGAAACAAATCGATTTTTAAACGAAAAAAGACTATTGATTGCAATATATGAGATAAACTAAAAAAATAGATAAAAAATTAATAGTAAAAAATAATTAATGAATAATGGCCGCTCGCGTGTTGGATATTTTAGATCATAAAAGTTAAGGAATTTGCACATTTAATTAATTTAATTGTTCACTTTGAGAAATGAATAAGACATGGCTTAATATCAAAGTCGTTTATTTACAAATTTGATAAATGTCTTGTCAGATTATTATTTTCTGCTTCAGGTAGATTTGTTGCCCTATTGTCTGATATTGAGGCTCAAAAACAGAAATGTTTTAGGGATGATATGGAATCATTGCTAATAATAACGCTATTTGACGAGGTCCTTGAATGTCGCTCATGAGAGATAATATATGTACCTAATGTAGACCAAAAAAACACTACACAATACAAGAACAGGTCTTCAAACCGACCCGCATAAAAAAATATCTTAACTGCTTATTCTTCCTTTGTAGACAACATTTCTTAATTTTTCAGTTAAAATGATTTCTTTTTATTATGACATTTTTCATCGTTTTGAACTATTAAGGGCCCACAATTTAAMTGAAAAAAACAATTCTGAAGTCTATTCTACTCAAAGAGCACGTGACTTTTACGGACATAAAGTCTTCTTTCATGTTCAGGTGGATAAAATGAAAATTGTTTTCACCGAAATTTTTTGCCAAAAAAGATTCCGTGAGACAGTGAATCCATCTTGCTGTATTCTAACCAATCAGAGGCTGCCATAAATCTTAACTGATTCGGTAGCGTGACTKAGACATAAGACTATCAAGTTAATGTTTGCGCCAAACAAATAACCAGTGTTTATGTTTCGYAAAGCAATTGTTGACAATTCACGGTAGAACATTCAATTGAGCAAAGACTGATAAGACTGTTTATTTCTCATTTAAAAGTTATATATTTTTGTGGAACTAAACTTGGAAATGACTTGCCTGTCACTGCTGGAGCTCAAGTTTCGTGTTGAGCGTCATGCACACTTTGATTAGTTGATGATACAGGAGAATTTCGGGATCCTCGGAAAAAGGTTATCGCAAAAATCTTTCCAACAAAAAAAGAAACTCCGTTTTTRGCCACTTCAAGGTAAGTGTCTACTAATTTTCCAATTTTTCCTGCGTGTTTTATGGACGGTGGAAACAATATAGTAACTTTGCTTACTGTATATTTATTTCCGTTTTCTTTTTTATTACTTTRCAGGCAAATTAACAAATGCAATTCGTCAAAAGTCATAATCTTCGAATCGGACATCTAGCACTCCTCTTTCTATGTAACCACGCCTCCTTAATTGAGGCCAGGAACCTAAGCCTRAACGATGGTTATATTGCTCCTGAAAGCATCAYGGAAGTAGCCAATCARCTAAAAKCGATTGGCGATGAGCTGTTCAGTGATTATATACCCAGGCAGGTCACGTGGTTAACATGGCGCCATCTCGCCCTAGCTAGTTTCCAGGCCCTACGCGTTCTTCTTAATCCGCCATCTTGAATTGATTGAGATTWGAAAACGTGGTTGTTATAGTTWAAAAGTTGCTCAATAAGCTTCGAAGCAGAATTRATTTATTACTGCTTATTGCAAAAGCTTTGTAAACATTGTTCATTTGTAATTGTCGATGCAGAAAGCTGGGAAATCGAAAGCTTTTGATCAAGAAGATCAGTCATACAAAGTGACGTCACTCTGTTTCCATGGCGTTCATGGCGAAGTTCAACTGTTTTAAAGTCAAGCCAGAGCGTAAGCAAAGAAAAATAAATTATCAATATATCAGAGATGGGAATTTAGATTGCTGGAACGCCTTGAAAAACGTTCAAGACAACGCTTATATATTAGYTAAACAGAACGAAAGTTCTACACTATTCAACGGCATTAAACACACACATCACACACTAGCAATACTTTTTGAATATTGTATTGGTCTTATAAGCGACTGTAGGTAATACAACAACAGTAAATACAATAATATTCGTATTAAATACAATAAGTAAACGCAAATAATCATAAATTAGAGAAGTGCCAGGGAGGCCAGAAAAAACCCTCACGAAAGAAGAGGAAATCTGGACGGGGCCAAGGCACGAAACTCACTTCCCTCGCAAAAGACAAAAATGAAAACAAAGTAAGGAAAGTGATATATAGAACGGCAATAAGATTAAGGAATGAAATTATGATTGTCATCTTTGCTTTGGATGCATTCCAGATAGTTTTTTGGCTTCAAATCGTGGGTTCCCTGATTATGCTAAACGACTGCTTACTGTAGTACATGTTCAGTTTTTACTTTTACGTGGTATTTGGTCATCATCTTGGATAAAGTTATGTGGTCTTTGTGGAGCAGTTTTGTGTAATTGAGTTTAATTGCTATGGAATGCTATAAGTATACACTCTGAAATCTTGGAGTAGTGTCTTAGCACTCATGTTAATTTCTCAAAACAGTCTGTGTTGGTTCCCGTTTGTTTAAACTGTCTTATTTGCGTTGAAAGGAAAACAACTAGCTATCGATGTTTGTGTCAAATACTAGCCACACAAACAATTCTATTAAAATCTGTATAGTACGTACACAAACGAATTAAGTTGTTGTATCGATGAATAGCTTTGAGTAGTTCAAGAGAACTATCATGGAATTTTCTATAAGAAACCGTTAACTTTAGCGAATTTACACAAACACTATCAAGAATTAAAGAGTGGAATTTGAAGAGAACTTCACACGAGACGCATTGGCACTTACAGGTGGTCAACGAAAGGTCGTTCTGTGATTGGTTATGAACTGGTTTCATACTATGTGATATGTTTACGAGGGGGATTTTTCCTCGTTACTTACACGTGGTCCAAAATACTTGTAAACAACTTGTTAGCAATAACTARTACCAGTAAGAGAAGGCAATATCGGTGACAGACAACAATATCGCGTATTAGATTTAAKATATATATTTTTGGTGGTATCAGAACTAGAAGCCGTGTCAAATTTCATAAAGGAATGAAGGCTGAAATGTGAAAAAGAATTCAATAATAGGACATGATTTCCAACAGCTCGTTTCAATCATGGTTAGTCCTCCTTTTTACTTTGTTTGGATAGAAAACACACTGAACTATCAAWCAGGGATTCCTAATATCAGTGTGAAAGRAAAGTTCTACGAATGAACCACTACATCAGTGTAGAAGATTACAAGTGATCAATTGTACAATGTTTGTTTATCACTTTCATCAATGCTATCAGTACATGTTAAGACAAAGATACAACGAGGCTGTGTAGGCGTTCACTTAAAACGTGTTGTACCGCAATCATTCTCAACAAAAAAGAACGTAATATAAACAAAACGCTTAATTCTACCCACCTTTACGATCTATTCAATATTTCTTTTTAACACCTTTACGCTGAAAATAAGAATGAATAAACGTTAATCAAATAAAAATGTCAAACTAGAAAATCTTCGAGTAAATCTTGTCAAAGTTGCCCAACGGGACATGTGCACTATCTTTGAATTTCGTTATATTAGGAAAGCTATCATTTTGTAAATAAAATACTTTCTGATATTGAGAGATATGTTTTTGGTTTTACAACCAAACGGGAAAGAGTTATAAGATGAAAGCCTTAGCATTCGTGGAGCTATAATATGCTAGGTTTTTCTGTGTGGACTTTCTGGAATAAATTAGTGAACACGCCATAGCATAACCCTTTAAAATACAGCTTCTAGCGAACTATGCACGCAAAGCGTGATAGCATACGTAAGTTAACTGAGTCATGTGAGTCTCAGTAATATTTAATAATTTTATGAAAACACGTTGGATACCTGTTGGATTTAGGTATAAATATAACAATTTGATGGCTAGTCGACAGTTGCWAATGGTTGAACAAAGGAGTAAATCAAGACTGAAATATCATTCTAAAGTTCAAGATTTGAACAGGTTTTCTGGTAAGTAAGCCTTGTTTTTACTTGGGAAATTAGACGATAAATTGAATGAACTTATATAGCGCACTGATTTCCGCGCAAATTTTATGAATCAAAAGTACAACTGGAACTTTTGAGCTATTTTCACGGTTATACGACGATAGCTGTTAATGGATTAGGATCGTTCAAGATTACAAAATAAAATTTGAAGACAAAAAGAGAACAAAAATGACATTTCTGTACTAGATGAAGCGGTTTCTCATATGAACTAGTGAGTATTGTTGACTGGGGTATTGTAAAAGAGTATCCAGTATACCTTTGAAAATGGTCTTCTGAAAGCCGCAGTTGCACATATATCATTTTAAGTTTTTGGGGGGTTACTTTTATCTTATCAAGATAATTAGTATCATTTTCTTGGAGTACTTTTTTTTCTTATTCTTATAATTTCTGACTTTCAGATTCTACATGATTGAGMTACACAAGAATTTTATTCRCCGCACCAATAAATTAGCGGTCATTGCCTTGTACACAAATAYTATATCAACAGAACTRCATCCAACACAAGAAATACATGACATAGATATCCCAGAMGATACTATTGCAGAGCTCGCAAACCAACTTGCAACAATAGGAGACCAATTGACACTTGAATATAACTACACAAGTCAATTTTACAAAGAAGCATGGCGGCTGTTTTTGCGGCTTGTTGTCCAGTCTTGTCTTTTGCTTTTGAATGCTCCTTATTGAAGTCAAACTAGCAGAATAACAATGAATTGAGAGGAGGACAAACTGATGCTATATGGAGGAAGATTTGTACAAAAGGCACTTGAAATCTGGATTCTGCAAGTGACTTATTTTAAAAATGGCGGCGCACTAAGATGAGAGCTAGAGAATAAACCGCAGCTACTAAAAGGGTGAATACAACTAGGAAGAACAGAAATTATTTTATAGCAATGGGACTTCGCTTATTTAAACTCTACTGAAAATATAATTATTGAAATATGACAATTTTTATAAATGATWAATGGAATTCTATCAAGTTATTTATATTCTATATTTATATCGAATAAGTCGTGTCTACGACTTAAAGTTGATTATTTTTATAAAATAAAAATATGAAATAGTGCGAAATAATTTGAGAAATCTGACAGTGGGTCTAGTGAATCACATCGTAACTAGTGTGCCGTGCTTGCTTGTTGATCGATTGAACAGATTACGTTACAACCAATCAAAAGACGAGCTGTTAATTTTGTGAGTTCTTTCGTAGTCCATCCGACGCGAACATTTTGTCACGTTTTATTCGAGACAAAGTTAATTCTCATCTGGTAAGGTCATTATGTTTTTGGAATAACATGAAAGGCTTTTCTAAGCGTCATTTTTGCTTTGCTGTGTGCAACAAGTGACGTTTAAAAAAAGTCATTGACGTTTTAGTATTCTGGTTTGCGATCGYTTTTTAACGCGAAGAAAAAGCATTTCGTAATCGTACTGAAAATAGTGCTTTAACTTAGATAAACTAGAACTTAGAAGTTGAAAAATACGAAGCAGCACAAAAAATATCAATACTGTACCTAATTTTTGCGAATTTTCGTTTCAAGACTTTCATATTAGGAAGGATGCCCAGATAATACTTTTTAGAAAAACGTTTCATGGTTTTGAAAGAAAGCTGATGACACGTAAACTGTCTTCGACCCATACGTCCAGTCTTGAATATTTCCTAAAAAAACTCCCTGGGATCATTACTTTAATTGTAAATTGTGTTATGATAGATAATTCAAAACATATTTAAGATCAGACGATGATTTTCTTAACGAGCTGAGGAAATAATTGCAGATGTGCGGTGTTATTCAGTGAGACAATTTTCCGCTGTCTGATTGGTTCTTTAAGCACAAGTTTCMAACTCGTTACGCTATTGGCTAAGAAAGGTGACAAATTGACCGGTTTTACAAGCGAGTTATTTAGTTCTCACGAACGAAAATCTTGATAAAAATATCACATTATTTCTGTGATYTAAGAGTATTAATAAAGACGAGCATTTAARTTRATATTTGGAATTGAATTATTTGCCAAGAGCGKWGTTTTTTATTGATTTTGAGCATCGTTTCKTCAGCTGAAAAAGCGCACTTTTAATGGAATCACAACACTTGTAATATCTTTCAAACAAAAGCTCTTTAAACTACCGAAAAMCGTTATGTAAATACCCAGGAAAGAAGGCTGATATAGTCAAACTGCTCGCTTTAAAAAGAGATCGATTAAACAATCAACATATATAACTACTTTCATAAACACTCAATTGGTCCAGTGAATATSCACAGCYATTTATAGGTCATTATAGACGTTATTTACACCTGACATCAAGTCCACGTTTCCATAGTTTCAAATAGACTTGCTTGCTTGGTAGTCGGATCGACATTTCGGATACGTACAATTTTGATGTGAGAAACTGTCAGTTAGGACATCCGTCAGGTATTTTTTATTCTGTTACTCATCAAGTTTGTACGAATCTTCWAAAATCAAAGCAATGAAACTCTATCCGGTATTTAACGTACATGACATCGATCTTGTTATTATCTGGCAGTTTTGTTGTCAATATCATATCGTTGAACTGGCGAACATGGTATTAGCAAACAAAGGTGTGAAAATCTTTCGTGACCAGCCAGGGTGGTACTGGTGTCTATGAACAGGACGTGCATTAACGCACTTCAATATACGACCGCGCGTCCTGGGACATGAGATACCGCTGCATACAATGACTGTAGTGAACACGTCCTATGACGCAAAACCTGACAACAAAAATAGCAARCCTAGTTGTTRTGGTTTGCGTTCTTAACATCAGTTTCGTTGRTRGAAATATCCCGTCTAGGAAGGAATTTAGTGACTTTGTACAAAAAGAAGGCGTGTCYAGCCTCCAAKATGGCCGCCAGCTATTGGTTAATTTATTTCCGTGAGACAAGCCAAGTTAAACGAAGCTCAGGGRCAGCACCTACAGCTCTACCAACCAATAGGAAYTCAGAATACGATCAAAACAAAAGAAATGTTCGCGTGAGAACTAATTTTTCGTGAGTGCAATTTGTTTTTGATCGTGACCATGCATTCTAAACAGGTCATGTTCACGATGTATGTTGGTATATAACAAGCAATGGTTGTTTTYAACTATAAAACACACCCCACAACAGTCAAGTGAGAAACGATTAATCGTCTGACAGAAGAATAATATCTAAATTTCATTYAAAAACATTGCAATGGAGGGCAAAAAGGTAAATAAATCTGTTTACTTTAATGTGATGTTATTGGACGGTATCCCGCTGTTTTGGTGAAGAGCGCATTGCGCGACAATATCTTGGCCAAGCAGATTTTTTGCGATGACTTATATTCCTAAGCAGACATAACTATATAACTGAAATCTTTTTAATGTCAAATAATCCAGTCATATAGTGTCCATAGATTTAACGATCTTCTTGCAACAATGTTTTCACTAAGTTAAGCCATGCTTTCTTTTYTGTTTCTCAGGAGTTTATGGATACAATGGAAAAACCACCAATTGAACCTAACAACCAAACGCCTATCCCAAACGAAACATTAGACACTTGCTCTTGAGTTAGCAAAAGTTGGCGATGAATTGACCAAGAAGTACGATGGTGCTTATAAGAGACAAGTGAGGTCTATAACAGGCGATATGTTAGCAAGGATCTGTTTGCGGGCTGTCCTTATTCTAATACAAGATGGCGCCATTTGAAGAGACTCGGTGGATAAGCAGCTGAAATACTGCCCGAATTGAGATAAATTGAGTGATTTATACAGCATTATGAGGCCGAATCGGAAACTACGTCCTGAAAGTGGAGAAATGAAGTCTGAAGCGCAGGCAGAAGGTCTATTGTGATGAGCGAAAGCCGATCCACTAAGCGACATGTTTTCTTCTTTGCCTTCATATTCTCGCCACGACTCACGAATCGAAAACAGTGCGTCAAAAGAACAAGAAAAGACGAGACTGTTATTGTTTCAAGAAAAGAAACATTCTAAGGAGTTTCTGAATTACAATTATAGAATTGTAGTCACATATCAAAGAAAATCAAATCGAGAARCATTCTGGTTTTCCATGACGCATGCACATTCAAGATTTGATCTTGAGCGTCGGCAAAATAGCTCGATGTTTCATCGTTGAAAAACATTGTAAATWTTGTTATTCTGCTTGTAAATAATGAAGAGAAGTTTGAAGAATAAATAAAGAACTTACTTGGTTTACATTGTATTTCTCCATTWTGGTATTTTGTCTGTGTGTGCTTAGGAAATGACCATATTCCAGGAAGTCGGACCATCACTAAACGGTGAATCTTTAAAACCTTAAATCGAAACCACTTTCGCTTTAAATTTTAAGAAACTGGCTTAAATCAGAGAGAATCAACGCTAGAAATGAATAGGGGGAGACAAATCGTGGGTTTTTAGCGGCCAGGACAAAACCTTTCTATATCTATGAGCAGATGTTTTCGAACCTAGACAATGAGGAGGGACTGGCAWCTCGCTCGCTGATTGGTACATTGAGGCGAGAAAATCACCGGTATACGTGTGTCTATTGTTCGGTCGTACAAGACAAGTTTTCTGTTGTTAAACCTATGCGATTATGATTGAGAATAAAGTAAGATTTAGATAAAAGACAAACCACTCCTARCATGAAATACTAGAATGATTTATATGAAAAAATCTTTTCACAAAACSGAGCACATTTTTCATTGTCTGATTCGATAACTTAAAACATGACTATTTTGGAAACGTTTTTAGCAAACTTTAACTTCATTTGACTTACTTTACACCTGAGAGAGATCTTTGTAATTCCAATAATATGCAAATCTGCAGAAGAATTGATTTTTTTGAAGCCATGAATTAGCATCCTTCATGATAATACCGCCATATGTCAYGATGTTAAACTGAATCTTTTCACTAGAAACTCAAAGAAAACTTCACACACCAATATCCTGCCATTCAATATTCGTACAATTCGTTCTTTTGTAATTAGCAAAAAACATAGATCACTTGACCAATATCGTTCTAGTATCTAACCCCCCAGTAATAATCGTGGCAAAACACGTAAATAATTTCGCCTTCTGTGATGAAAGTCCAATACATTGCCCTAACAACGCGGATATGARCGCGTTTGATCGAATTTAAATTGGTAATTGACCTGTTTAAAAGWCATTACGAGTTTTAATAACGGTTAAAGGTGGATCAAAGTACTAACAGATCATGTGATAAYATTTCACTGTCTTTATTTTAGTTTTTCCCTTATTTTTTGGTTTRGGCAAAAATCAGACATTTCTAGGAATTACGACTACAACTATTATTCTAAATTCAGGTGTCAGTAAAAAACTAGTAATTTCACACTAGAAACTTAGAGAATTCAGTACCTAACATCCATTACATCAAGCAATTTCAATAAGATAACGCGATAAAGGTGTACTAATRGTCTTATCTGGTAGAGTGCTATCCTAAAAGGGGATTGCGGAAAATCCCTTTACAAGATAAACGTCTCATATAGAAAACAACAAATCAATCAATTATAAAGTTTTTAATAACATACTAAATACTTCTACTATATTTATTTTGCAATCAATTTTGTTCTCTGTGTACTTCCTCGCGAAATGTATTTGTTTGGTAAGTTTGGTCATGTGCGATTGAACGTTTTTTATCCTAGCCTCCTTCCCAGGCATCACTAAGTCACGGGCTTCCTCTCTTTTTTTAGGAATGAGGGAGAATGGGGTCAGTAGTCAACATGACCGTTAACAAAGGAAGCCCGGAGGAGGAAAAAAAGAGTTGCCTGGGGAGGAGTCTGCAAATACACAGGAATCCCGGCCCAAAGCCGTTCTTTTGGTCAGCTATCAAGGCTGTTTATATTTCTAGCTTTCATCAATACGTGTTTAGCTTTGTCATAGAAACCAAAGAACACGGCCCCTCCAAGGGCTATCCACGTCACACGGATTGTAACTCCAGCAAAGAGACTAGGAATGAACAAGAAAACATTAAGGGATGGGTGGGTAGATGTAAWTACTCAAAATACTAATTAGTTTATTCCAMGACTCACCCTCGAATTCCTTGTTCTTTCCTTACAAGTAGCAACATGCGATAAATATTTATTTTGGTTTCTATACTRCCTTTCTGGAATGAGATAAGAAATCCAATTTCCTTCATAAATTTAGCTATAAACATTACATTCTTGAAACCCCAGGGACTATTTCAGCACAGAAAAGACAGCACTAGTTTCAGCAGTAATACAACAAAGCTGGAGTACATGTGCCTTCTCATTCAYGGCCATTCATAAGAAAGTTTATATTTTTTTGTGTTTTGCTGGAAACAACAAGTTTGCAAGCAGGCATTAAAGAAAAAGACTCATAAATGATTTAGCTTTGCAAAGATGAGAAATTTGCAAGAATCAACTTACTGGTGCTAGCATGATTCTTGTCTTGACAACATCCAAAGGAGTAGTAACAGCAGCAGCAAATGCACCTACAATAAGTATCAATCATTCTAGGAATACACCAACAACTGTATACAAGGGCTATTTTAATATTTTATAAACTAAAGGGGAAGAACAATTCAGAATGAAGTGAAGTGAAGTGAATACAGAAGACAACAGAAAAACGAGAGTGAAACAGTGAAATATGAGTTGATAAATGAATATATGAATAAATTGATGGATGTGGAAGCAACATTATTGTGCACAAGAATGCAGGAAATGACATCATACTGCATCCATCGCAGACACCCCTACAGGCCCCTACACAACAGGATGTCTTCAACAGGGGTTAGCAACAACCACATTTCTAACAAAAGTTAATTGAATGTTAATATTCCATTTTACTTCACAGCAAGGCCAATAAAGTTCATTAGTCTTTGTAATGTTGCACATCTTACCTGCCATAGCTCCACAAATACTAGACTGAAAGGCATTTACATTGTAACCCTGAAACCTGGACCAACCAGTCTGCAACGAAAAGACAGCAACARATCAAACAAAGTCATCAAATTACTTAAGTGAGAAATTAGGCAGCGAAAGGCAAACAGTATCATTGTRCCACCAGTGTCATCCTGCAACATGGTAAGTTGTTTGTTTGTCAGGTTCTTCATACAATGCTACTTGGCATTTTGACTTACCTTTAAGAATTCCCATATAGGCATTTCAATAAATGCAAATGGAACCTATCCAATAAATACAAAATATAAATAATAAATAGAATAAAACAAAATAAATAATAAAAACAACTGATGACGGTTCCAGACATTCAATTTTACTCTCCTTGCTGTTGTTTTTGATAGTGTGAATAAGTTCAAAACACTGTTAATCAAGCTCATAAGGRCAGGATCCTTTGCATTACAAGTTCAAAAGTTACAAAACCATTGCTAACTGCAYAGAGCACGGAAACTGATAACACTTTATACTGTACCTCTCTTGCTAGTGTACTTAAAAACCCTCTATATAATCCTTTAAATCCCTGGAGATGCAACAACARTCATTAAATTTTAACACTTCCTATATAAGACACATCAAAGGTTCTGCAATGAAKGCATATTTTGCTGTAATTCTTCAACTAACCTCTTGCCCTATAGTGAATTTAAATGCTTGYAAACTAGACATATTAGAGTAAGCTTGTGCTCTTTGCTTTACAACTTCAAAAGGACATCTTAAYACAAGAGAAGCCTGAAAACATACAAAGAAAATAATTAAACTTAAAATGGGATAATGAAAGGCTCAGGCCTTATCAACAAACTTTCAAATGTTTCATATGTTTGCTTTTGGCTTACTTTCTTGCAGATCATTATAATTCTACTCACCGCRTCTCCAACAGAGGCAGACACCATGTAAACAAGAGGCAACATTGATGAAGGTAGGGTCGGGGTAAGTATGTTTTTGGTCAGTTCATATGAAGCAAAAAATATTGCAGCTTAAAAAAATAATAAAAAACAAATTAAACAAATCACCTGTATGGGAATATTTTTTCAGAAAACAATAATGTTCTGCAATTTGAAAATGATTTTTTCACAATGTTCTAAAAAAAGGATGGATAGCAATGAYGATGTTAGACATGAATTTCAATAGAAAATAATTTTTAAGATCTGGCAAAGCACACACTCCCTCCCTCCCCCCCTTCCCTCCCCCCCTTCCCTCTCCCCTCCCACCTCCCTCCCTCCCCCCTCATCTTCTGGTTGAGGATGTATGCCTCCTACCTGCAGGTGCGGCAGCAGTAGCTGCTGACCCTATACCACTGTATATTCTCTTAAATCCTCCTGCTTTAAAGAATCCTTCAGCTGATTGCATGCGAGTCTTGATTGTGTCTAGTGGAAAGAGTGTGACGTCTACTGCAGTACCAGCTATACCACCGGACTAACATACAAAGCAAGAAATACAATCATGGTTGATCATAACCCATAAATTTACATTTATTGGGTATTCTACAAAAAATCTAGTAAGATATACTTAAAAATATCAATTAAAATCTAGAAATTCCTAAATAGGTACAAACTCACCACGAGTGATACACCGAAAGGYACTGGACCAGTCGGTACTGAAGAACTGTTTTGCGYCGAGCGATCGCTGAAGGACTCGCTAGTCCTCTCAGCCATGGTGYAACTGATACAACGGCTAAATTACGATCAATTCTAATACATTTYAAATGTTCTAGGRTGCAATMTTGCTTAGTTCTTGCAGAATATGTTGTTCAGAAGTAGCGTAACTTCCTTATTTCGTACCCAGAGCCCGCACTTTTGGGCAGGGACAGGAAGCCCGACAAAAAWCGGGTGCGAAGGAGACTGGTGWCGGTCCAGCAATTAAATAGTTGCRGACAGGAGCTAAAAATGTTGATATATATATCATATCAAAACCAAAATATAACATACATATAACTGTTTTAGTTGAAAATTCAAGCTTAAAACTATGAAAACTTTGAAACTTTGCGTTTATAAGGTGATAATAGTATCACATGAACAGACTACGGCCACCTGCCGTTGCACATTGGTCGCTGAAAAGTGGTAAAAAAAGATTATTGTTTACGGTTTACATAATTCARATAGATAATTATACTTACTACAATGACAATAACGTTACACGAGATTTAACCGGAGTTTRATGATAGTAACGGCGTTATAATTCAGTATTCAATTTTTTTTTGCGGCGCGGAATTACAGTCCSCGTGTTCCGCAATGATTCCGTGAAGATGAAAGCAGTCCGTCAGTAGTACTAGTGAAAAATCAAAATTTTCTAAACTTTTTAAGTTTTATCGAGAAAAKAATTGTGTTGAAATTTAAGTATGAACGAAAAAGAATCGATATCTTTTGATGTGGATGAGTTATCAAGGCACAGTTCAATAGAGAGTAGTCAGTTTGAGAGTGGTGAGTTTGGCGATATTTGTGATCTTCTTGATGATTTTGAAAAGAAACGAGACTTCAGTGAAGAAGACGCTCACACCAAATCCAAGCCAGCACAATCAAAAGGTTTGTGTTTAGATATATTCATAATAATCCTCTTTTTCAATTGCTGAAARGCTTTGAAACTAYACAATTGAACAKTTGTCTACATAATGCTTGCTTTCAWTGTTGTTSRAGACCCTTGAAACTTTGTATTGTTGATAGCTAGTATATTAAATACCTGAAGCTTCAGTAATTCATTGACAATAAACCCTAGAAAAACGGAGTTGAAAACACTCAGGACACTTGAAAAGTAATTCTATTAATTTACGTTCAGGGATTTTGAAACTGATATTGTTATTCAAAGTTTTTGTTTAGGTTTTCAGGTCCACAAAAACGTTTTGTTCTGTCTTTGCAATTATACAAAAGAATTAAATGTGGACAACACTAGCTCAGTCGCGCGCGCGTCGATCAGCTGGCTGTAACCTATTATCTTTATGTACAATGTACATTTTTCTTTTAGAAACAGACTCCAGTTTAGCAGTCGTCTCTGAAGATGAGAAAACTGAGAGCAAGACAGAAAGAGAACAAATTAAATCAAAAACAATGAAGCAAGACCATAAAGAAATTGAGGATGAGAACGAAGGACTGACCCAGAATGAAGAACAAGAAACAACAGTCTCCGCTACAGGTGGACATTTTCAAAGTGAGAGAAAATTGCTAGACAAAGGTAAAAAACTATTAAATGACACCGCTGAACAAAAACTTAAAGAAGAACAAGAAGTAGAAGTAGAACAAGAAGAAGTAGCAGAAGAAGCAGTGAAAGAAGGTATTTGCGAAAACACTTATCAACCGACGTCGTTACACGAAAACAGAAAGGAAAACAGCAAAGGAAATGACATTTCACATGAGAAAAAACGCGAAAGTATCACAACGGAAGACATTGGAGAAACAATTTCACAAGAGAAACCACTACTAAATCAAGGAAGAAAACAGAATTCAGTACTTTCTGACGATGAGAGCGAGTCAAAATTGGCAGAAAGTGATGCTTATTCTGTAAACAGGTCTAGTAATGAAGCAGTAGAGGAGACAAAAGTTGGTAACGAGAAAATAAGATTGGAAAAATCGGTGAAAACACCGTCTGTATTGAACGTTGCATCTCACTTGAATCCCAGAGAAAATCAAGATAATACAAAAATTAAAGAACAAGAAACTGCTTTTGATTCTGATAGCAGTTTAGATTTAGACTTCGATGAAAGTGATAGCGATGAACTTCTAATGGACGCCATGAAGACTGGTGCACTCAACATAGAGACCTCAACACCAGTRGAACAAGAACAAGATTGTGGTTTGTCGACGGATTGTCYCGAAAAGAATWACAAAACAAAGGAAGTTAGCAATGAATCACGTGACGATGGTTGCCATGAGAATATTATAAGCACCGCTGGTCATGGTGACAGAGATGTTACAACCAGTAGTGACGAGAATGAGAGGGGGACTGGTCTTGAAAATCAATCTTCTTATTTGAAAGACGACAAAGAAGCAGGAGAAAATGGTGACGAGAAAGATGGGAACCAGTTGGAGCTTGTGAATTCTGTCTTAAGTCGTGATAATGTTACCAACATTAGAAGTAGCGATAGCAAAATCGAAAATGATGATGATGTTGTTGGTGATGATGATGACTACTCTTGTAATAATAAAGAACAACAACCCGACAATGATGATGAACATGGTAAAAATGATGACGAAGATGACAAGGAAGATGGTAAAAGAAAAGAATTTGCTATACATGATAATGGTGATGATGATGACTCTTGTAATAATAAAGAACAACAAGCCGACAATGATGATAAAGATGGTAAAAATGATGATGAAGATGACAAGGAAGTTGGTAAAAGAACAGAATTTGTTGTACATAATGTTGTTAATGATATGAAGGATGATGGTAGCTGCAATGATGATATTGGAGCTCAAAATGACACAGTGGAAATTGGAATCGTTGCTTACCCTGATCTTTCAAATAATGATGAAAGTAATCATAATAAAGATGATTACAACGCTGAAGGTCATAGTAATAATGATACTGATGATCACAATGTCAATGACAATSAAGATTATCGCACTCGTGAAAGTGAAATAGGTGAAGATATAAGCGGTGATGATGGCGAGGCGCAAGGTATCTGTGTTAACGGAGAACCCACCAATCAGCACAAGAACGACAGCGACGATGATGATGATGATGTCTTTGATGAAAGTAATGCTGAACAAGAAGACGCATCCAATAATACAAACAATGATGACAATGAAATCGCAGAAGAGTTAGAAGATGATGCTGATGACGATGCTAATAATAATAATCCTGCTGTTGATGTTAATACTGAGGATGATTCTGGTTGTGTGGATGACCATCTTTCTCTTGATGTTGTCGAGGATGACGCTCACAATGGTATCATGAATGAGAATGGCAACGACAACGAGAATGCAATGAATGGTGAAAATCGCAATGAACGTGTAAGTATCAGAGACGGWAATGACAATGTTCATGATTCCAACAATGCAAATCCTGAAATTAATGATAACAATGATGGAAACGAARCGTCTATGAACAATGGTAATGATGACACAGATGACCTCAACAACATTAATGCTATACATGATGGCGATAGCATTGATCACGACAGAGAAGTTAATGTTATCAATAACGGTTATGTCGACACTATCAGTGATGCCAACATCAGATTCGTCGGCGTTACAGACAATAGTGGTAATCAAAATGCCGAAGAAAGCGCAAGAAACAAGATCGATGATCAGCAAGCTGATGTTAATAACAAAGACCAGTATAATGCTATCAATAATGATGTCCAGGAAAGTGGTTGCGATTCCAGTCATCAAGGCATCAATTGTAATAATGGTGTAATAATAGTTTCCAAAGCAAATCCAGTAAGTGATGTTGACGATCGTACAACAGGTCATGGACATTGGAGTGATGAAATTGTAGCCAGAGCTACTGCCAATGGCAACCAGTACACAATTGAAGACAAAGACATAAATGGTGCAAATCTAAGAGGTAATGGCGACCAAAAGCATAACAATGATAAAGACCGTTGTAAAACTCCTGATGATGGCAAAAATCGCACGTATGACGTCAAGGGTGACGTTACAAATGACGACAAACATAACGTCAAAAATAATGACTCCCTTGAGGTCTGCTCGAGTGAAAATACAGGCAGTGAGCATAAACGTGAACACAATGGAATATTTAAGAAAAACGTTATTTCAGGCTCTAATTGCAATGTTTACAAGAAAGAAAATGGAACTTTTACGCTGACTCRGCAGAGAGAGAACTTGGACGAGGATATCTTAAAAGAAACAAGAAAAAGTGCATTGAATAGTTCAAGCTCTCAGCCTGTTGAAAGGAGACAACCGTTGTTGGAAGCAAAAAGAAGAAGAGATTTTTTGGATTTTGATGATACTAGCGATGTTAAAGTCGACAGAAATCGAATCGCATCAAGTAAAGAAAACACAGACACTGAGGAGAAACCAGACGTACAAGAAGTWAAAGACAGCGTCAACAACTTGTTGAAAAGATTGTTGAAGAAATCAAAAGAAAGAGAAAGCGAGAAAGAAGACAGCGATACCGATAAACGTTCCTTTGAACCGAGAAAACATGAACATGCTAGAAGACAAGAGAATAGAATACCCGAGGAAAGGACGTCTCGTCCTAGAAGAGGTCCAGTTCCGCTGCCAAGAAGAAAGGTAAGCTCGGAAAGTCTGCTGGAAATCGAAAATGGTCACCTCGAGACAGACAGAGAAAGAGTCGAAGTCAAAGAWAGTTACGATACTCTGAAAGACTTCTTAACTGACGACGCGACTGATTTCCAACCACTTCATTGCTCAACTCCAATCTCTCCGCGTTCTCCACGTAAAGAGGTGCTTGTTGTATGTAGTGAAAATAATGAAGAAAATACARAACAGAAASACGTAGAAAARGAATYTGATGAAGTCAACTTACCAGACGATGCAAGSTTTGGGAAGGGCTTTTCTAAGGACTYGRACAATCAAAAGGTCATAGATCGAGACGATGTATTGAGGAGCTTTCCCGATAAAGGAACCAATGATGAAAAACCAAGTGATTCAAAGATCCAAGATGAATATACTGAGAACATCGAAGAGGAATCAATTTACGCAACAAGTGATAACGAGTTTATTGGTAAGCTATCACGATACAAGAAATACACTAGCCGTCAACGAGAGACAAATGCTGGCAAACAGCTAGTAGTAGGGCGCACACAAACAGCTTCCGAGCAGCATACGAAGTACACCCGACTAGATTACGACCAAAACCGGAAACACAACGATTATCTAAGGAAACGATCAAGATCAAAAACGACAGATTTGCAGACTTTRCTTCATAAACATAAAAATCGCACGTCTGTTGCTGATTGGAATGACTTGCCTGGCTTACCAGACATGCATGATGAAGGCCAGATATCAAGTGAATATTATGGAATACATCAACGCAGCCTAGTAACTGGTAAACAAACACAAGGGGAAACATCGACATTTAACGATGTCACTGATTATCAACATTCTCTCGCTGAGCAGAATGGTAAACATTTTGCAAAAACCTCTTGCTACTACAGACATAATAAAAACCATGATGCCGACATTGCASAAACTCTTTGTAGAAGCCCGAGTGTTGGCAGTGAAAAGAATAAAGCCTGTAAAAGAAGCCCGAGTGATGGCAGTGAAAAAAGTTATAAAATTTATTCAGGAAACTTTGATCAAGATGGTTATGAAGTACCGATTGATAATTTCATAAATCTTGAACTCAATGCAAGTGGTAGATTTGATGAGCAAATTATTAGTGATCATTCCGCCTCTAGTGATGTGCTTAATGATGATATTATGATGGATTTTCAAAGTGACGTGAACATCAAGGGCACAAGAACTCCTAAAGTGGATTGTTACACTTCTAMTGACGATTACCAGTCAAACATGAACACTATAGGTTATRCAAWATCGACAAARAAAGGAATTCATGATCMGAATGCAACGAGAACCGCATGGCCAGAAATGTCTATKYATTCATATGGCGATGTACTCTTACTAGACCATACCGATTCAAAAGAACAAGTTGGTACAGTTCAAGTGATACGCTTTCCTCTTACTTATCAAGGACCWGGAATCGTTCTGGAAAGTAATCCAGATATCATTGTGAAGAAAATCAWAGTAGACAGCGATGCTTACCGAGACGGTCGACTTGAGCCAGGTGATAGACTGCTGTCAATCAATGGTTATAACCTGAGCATTGCTTCYCTCGAGCAAGCWAAGTCTGTATTGCGTAAACTTCAAGAARAGTCTACTGAACGCTGKGCTACTATACGATTCTTRCGCTRTTCACGTGTTGAATTAGACGATCTTGATTCCTCTATTGATAARAGTGTAACTTTACCATCGTTTCTAAACGAATCTGTCTCTCCCATTGGTGGGCRMAGTCATTGGGCAAAGCAGGGTGGGAAGGAGTTAATCCCTCCTGATCRAAACAAATATTTGAGCAGTTTGAGAAAGGATTTAAATCTTTGTTGCCATGCACCCCCTTTGATGACGTCCACACCAGTTTCACCCACCGTATTGCCTACTGCAACWTGTCGAAACTGCAAAGTCTCTGGTCATACAAACCATGGCACTTCAAATGGTCGCCATCATGATGGCCTGCTGCTGATTSCGCCCGATTCCAAAGTCCATCTCAGTAAACTTGAATCAGCGTTATCCTATCTCGGCCTTAMTTTATCRGAGCTACAGAAATGTGCYTTGAGGAATCAGCTTCGTGTTGACGCAGAAGGCTATGTCATTTATGATGAATTTGCGCAACGCGCAAGACWGATTTATAATTCTTCTTTTGGTGAAAGTCTGAGATCTTYTTCCAAAAGCACCGCGTCTCCTCTTCCAGATATCATTCCCAATTCACATATCCACAACACCATTTCACGTAAAATGGACGACATGCTTATAGAGAAAGATCRCATCAAGCATGAAATCATCACGATTAAATCCAGTATCMACAAGCGTGCAAATAAGCTTCACAGCGTTGAACRAGAGCTTGCTGAAGTTAGAAAAGATCTTGAGAAAGTCAGGCAAAGACGYWCAGTACTTTKGAAGAAAAACGCAGAGTTAGACCGMGCAAARTTAAAAACAAAGTCAAARGTAAATAACTACAAATTTGAAATTGCGTCCCTTGAACARGAACTTCATCGACTCAAAGCGGCTCACGTCCCGGTAACGTCCCGTGCAGTGACAAAATGCGAAGCAGTAGAAAAACAGATTCAGGATTTGGTTCTACGTTTGCGAAATGCTGAGAAAAGTAACAAGAATTTCCACGAAGTGACTCGAAAGTTGATCTCGTTTGCATACAAAGTTCAGCGCGTTACAGGCGACGAGAGTGGAAAGCGTGTTGGTTGGTCCAACTCTGCGTCGTCTTCAGACCACACTTACCAGGCTGTAGCTGAAGCTCGATCACAGTCTGTACCTAATCCCCCTAAAGGTATCAGAAAGATTGGAAAGAGGGAGCAGCTTCTATCTAACGAAGCAAGGAAAATCATAGCAGCGGTGGAGGGACTCCTTACACACGAAGCCTTGCCGTATGGATGGGAGGAGGCTTACACCGAAAAAGGCGAACGTTTCTTCCTGAATCATGTGACAGGGACGACTACTTGGACTCATCCTTTGGCGAAGAGGGAAATAACGAGGCCAAGGCGAGAGCACTTGGGTAAATAAAACTGCTTTCATTTTTTTAAAGCCAACCTCTACGCGTCAATTAGTGTACCATTCACAAATGAAAGCGTAAGTTAGGTTAGAGTGGTTTTCATAAACCCGTGAAACAAAGTGTAATAATTAAAGTGTAAAAGAACGTAATAGTCGCGTAGAGACAATAAAACACAAAAGAGCCAAAGTGTAATAGCGATAAATACGCTAAAGTGTGTTTCACGGGTTAATGAAAACCACTCTAACAACAGACTCCAGCGGAGTGTGAAACTCTTTTGGTTTCCATCTTTTTCTATTGACATTTGCGCCTCTAGTATACACTACAGCTAGCGCAAGACAAACTATCGATAACAATACAAGACATAAATTATTACTATCAAAGATATTTATTCTTGAAGATCAGACTGGGTATGACATTTGAAAATATTGTAAGTCTTTGATAAGATGATAACAATCAATGAATGTGCCTGTAGCCTATGTAGCCACCCCTCCACAGCTAACCCAAGAAGCCTGGCTATAAAGGCTACTATATCTAAAAGTTGGGTGACATTATTACTCATCAAAAACCTTTCCATATATGTTTTACTTATATCTCCTTACGACAAGTTTTCAATGAAGTTATTGGGTTTGGTGTGGGAATGATACTGTACAGTTTTATGCTAAACTTTAATGAATTAAAAAATGGTGGCAAAATCTAAATGACAAAGTTCTCGACTGACTAGCTWCTTGTTCATACATTAATATAAAATAATTTTTGCTGGTCCACCATTTTTCAATTTTATCTAATCCTAATTGCCACAAAATGCAATCAAAACCCTGAAAACAATAGGGTACTTTGGTATGAAAACTATTATAATATACCTTAGCTTGTCTTTTGTTTTTTAGCTCTACAATCACCCAGTATTTGTTAGAAAAAAATAACTTCTTAGCCCACAGAAAATGACACAGTTTAAAGCTCAACTAACCATTAAAGATTTAATTGGGCCCACTTCAAACTTTGTGTTATCACACCAAATACCAACAATAAATTGTGAAATACAATAGGTTCACCTTTGACCAGAGCATTTCCACGTTGGTTTGRTAGGATGGTAACACAGGATGGATGAATAAGGTCCAAGACTAGAGTTCCATTTCATATACATGCATGTCAAGATACTAAAAAAACTATTTTTTAAAGAAAACTATTATTTTTCTTCCAAAATGCACATTTGTATTCAAACATACCTTGACAATGCTAGACACTCATTTATCATAACGATTCCATTATACGTAATATGATAGCCTATCTACGCCTGTTCGATATCATCTGGATAGACATTTAGATATTCACATGTTAGCTATTTGAGTGTTCATATGTAACAGTTCTTGCTTTAGCTATGACCCGGCAACCTCCTTCAAATTCTAGTTAAAGTTATTCTTTATTYCATTTTTGTGTGTTTAGCTGTGGGATTTTGAGTGCTGAATCAACCACTGGAGAGTTATATCTGCAAAAAAAGGATAAAAAAATTTAGCATATCATAATCATGGGTTGTCATGCGAGAACTTCCTTGGATGGCAGTCCAAATGGAGTGACTTTTTGATCAATGAGTGACTTTTTGATCAAAATAGCATGAGAATACAATAGAAGCACTATACTACAAACAACTGATACAACATCTATAGACTTTTGAACACTTTCATCTCTTCCACTTTCTTGAAAGATGAGATACAGAGAAGTTCTGTTCTCTGTTTCATAAACTAAGCCACGGAATCAGTAAGCCTCCTTAAATTTCTTGACAAGACTCACCTATATTGTCTTTTTCCTTGCAAGAGATCGAATAACAGCAGATTTCTCTGTCTTGTATAGATGTTAGGTTGCTGCAAATGTGAAATTCCTGATTAGAGGTTGGTCACTTATTTTTTAACAACATTCAAAAGGAATTTAATCACTAATGATAATTATCATCATTAATTTAATATACTCACAGTCGTTCTACCAATTCYTTCTCATCCAGCGATCCAGGAAGATCTTTTTTATTCCCAAGTACTAAAATCTAAAGRAAAGAGAAGGAAAATATAGAAATGTGAAATGTGAAAAGTGAAAATTAAAGTTTTGTTTATTTATTATCAGCAATTTACTTACTGGAATGCCTGCTAATTGTGGTTTTTCTAACAGATTGTGGAGTTCATTTTTYGATGCCTCTAGTTTCTCATGATCAGCTGCATCAACCATATATCTAAAAAAGAATGATTTTGTGTGAGTGCTCAGTTATTCTGTGAAGTTGATTTAATGATGTAGATTATGGAGCTAGTTTTCATAAAGACACATTTCCCTTTCACTTTTCCCTTTTCCCTTTCAGATAAAAAAACATCCCTTTTCACTTTCTGATTCCACTACATAATAATTAATGTTTGAGAAACATGCTTTGGTTTATACTTATGTTCCTACTTACACRATACAATTGACGCCCCTGCAATATCGTTCCCACATGCTCCTGAAGCGAGGTTGACCACCAATGTCCCAAACCTGGTAATCACAAATATACAGTTAGACTATTCATTGCTGTAAGTACATAGAATAATGTCATTGTTTAACACYATTTTTGATGGAGGGAGGAGAACTTGAGTGTACTTGGAGGGCAAAGGAGGGAACCAGCTTACAAACTCAAATCACATATGGTCTGGAAGAACAGAAATCCAACAAGGAGTGACAGACTAGTCTTGGGYACCCTTACTGCCYTATGCATGGTAGAGCCTATAAAATGGACTGTTTACCATTATCAAAATTAAATGAAATAGGAATTTATATGCTACTTTATTGAATTAATTTTATAGTCTACCGTTATACAATCAAGAGAGTTTTTAAGTAAGTATAAAATAAATACATATTTAGACTTGTTTTGAGGGAAACTATTCAGCAATTAATTTAAAAGTGAAATAAAAAGATGCAAAGTAACGGTAGGGTTTTGAAATAGAAAAAAAAAAAGAAAAGAAAAATATCTTTAATTTTTAAAATGTAGATTCAAAGTGGGAGATATCATAAGACAGCAATTTGTCGTGATATGAATACAACCTCATTATATTCAAAGCTTGTATTTTCCAAATCAAAAACTTACTTTAATAGTCACATTTCCTTTTGAAACCTTCCTCATATTAAATCCAACTGTAGGGATCATATCCTCACTGAATTGCCCAGACTGCAGGTAGARAGTATAACGATCAAAATCCTTGCATGRCAGAGACAAGGAAGAGAGAAACGAAGATATTTCAGTCAAAAAACTGAGAAGTTTCCYATGAGCTTACCGCGATAACATTAACAAATGTCGTCTTTCCTGAATACTGCAAGCCAACAAGGGTTAGCTCCATCTCTTCTTTCCAGAAGAGACTTTTAAACCAGTCTAAAATACTACGAAAAAAGGCCAACATTGTGATAAATTGAAATTTCTTGACTAACACCTCGACCAGCTCTAGTCACATGACAAGCTTGCTTCGAACTTTGTAGCCGTGAGGGAACTCAAGGTACTAACAGCTGTTTCTTTATAATAAATGAATCAAAACTAAATAAAAACAAGTAAAATCTTTATTTATGGMCACTTTATTTAGATATTATAAATATATTCCATCAAAACAACTAGAGATGCTCATTTTTGGGGACTTATCTAAAGGAACAAAAATACTAAGGATACTTTCTTGACAAGGGCATCATTCCTAACCACAAGYAAGTACTTACGTCATCATGCTGGTATTTACTACCGCTGACCTCTAATTCCAATTTGAAAGTTTATTATTTGCGGTTGTAATATTTATATGGCAATTCTCTAGGTTTTTGTTGCCTAAATTCCCTTTTTGCCTTGAGCAAAGGTCCATTAAGGTAGAGCCTTTTTATAAGGCGCGCCTTTGATGTCTTTTAATGGCCTCGGTGGATTTCCTTCGTGGCGAAGTTGAGCGTTTAACGAGTGAGCTTCAGGTTGCTTCACAAGAAAAGATACAGGCTGCAGAATACGGTTTGGCTGTTCTGGAAGAGAAAAGAAAACTCGAGGAGCAATATGACGATTTAGAGAGCACGAATGAGTCAATTAAACAAGAGTTAGAATGTCTTAAAGAGGTGAGGGCTTTGAGAGTTATCGTAAATATTTATAATGAAGATCACACTTCATGTTCACATGTATTCACAGCGGTGAATTGAATTCCAACATTCCATAGAGCACGAGATTTAACTTGTTTCCTGAATATTGTTGTTTAAAATTGTTGATTTAAACTCATAAGTAAGGCAGACAGAGACAAAAGAATSACGATCGTMGATTAATCTAATCCAGAGTCAAAACCCATAGCTCAAGTATTTTCAAATATATTTGCCACGTCGCCTAGRTACTTGGCTCTTTTCCTTGGCATGTCGACAAATAWATATTACAATTTTTTTWAAATCTAAGATRAATTCCATAACTAATTATTCACGAACTGTAGGGGTCCGAATGTATAATTGTTTGAAAACGAGATAAAAGTTACAGCTATAGGAAGAGATTGTGTTTACTTTATCATCATATCAATAATATATCACACGTGTTATTGTCTTTGTCTGGGATTGTTTTTAGCCAGAAAATTAACATTTCAAAGAGGTGCAAATAAGTTATTATTKCACAWTTTTTWA